TATTCCACATATGAGTGAAGTCATCAAGTGTTTTTCTTTCCTTACTTACTTCAAATAGCCTAATACCCTCCATTTTTGCCCAGGTTATTGCAAATGGCAAGATTTCACTGTTTTATGCCTGAGTAATGATCCATTTGTAATATTCCATCTTCTTAATCCACTCATCTGTCCTTGGACACTTGGATTGTTTCCAAAGCTTTAATATTTTAAATTGTGTTGTAATAAACATAGGAAAGCATAATTCTCTTCAAATTAGTGTTTTTGCATTTCTCAGGGTAGTCTTTTTCATATTTTGAGAAACCTCCATATATCTTTCCATAGGGATGAGACAAATCTACCTTTCCACTTCAAAGTGTATGAAGATATCTTTTTTCTCCACACCCTCATCAATATCTGTTTGAGGATTTTGTATGTTTGTTTGTTTGATATGGGACATTCACAAGGGTGTGAGATGGTTTCACATCATGGTTTCAACTTGCCCTTCTATTACAGTAAATGATGATAAGCACTATTTCATATGCTTATTGGACATCTGTATGTCTTCTTTGGAGAAGTATCTAGTTCTTTTGTCCATTTTTTCATTTTTTTCTTATTGTTGAGTTGTATAAGTTCTTTGTAGATTTAGGATATCAGCTCCTTGATATAAACATAACATGTTAATATTTTCTCATATTCATAGTGTGTCTTTTGTTTTAATGAGTTTCTTTTGATACTATCAGTGATAGTATCATTCACTAAATGCAGAAGCTGTTATAGTTTGATATAGTCCCATATCACATCACCACAGGAATTACTAACTTCAATACTGTGGAGTTTGCCTATGTTTTCTAACATGTATTTTATGGTTTCAAGTCTTACATCAACTTTTTTACTTCATTGTGAGTTAATTTTTGTATATGGTGGGAGATGGTGGTCTAGTTTCTTTAACATGTGGCTGTCTAGTTTTCCAAAACCATTTGTTAAAGAAACTTTCCCTTCTTCATTTTGTACTCTTGGCTCTTTTTTCATAAATTAACTGACCCTATAAGTGTGGGTTTATTTCTGGTCTCTCAGTTCTATTCCATTGGTCAGTGTTCTTATTTTTATTCCAATTACCACATAGTTTTATTATTATAACTTTATAATATAGTTGAAGTCTGGGAGTGTAGTACCCCTTTCATTTTTGTCATGATCGCTTTAGATATTTAGGATTTATTGTGGTTCCATATAAATTTTAATAATGTTTTCTTTATTCATTTTAAGAATGCCATTCACTCTGCCAGCTCTAGCGTGGCCTGGTGAGAGGTGGGCACATGAAAAAAACAGCAAGTCTTATCCCTTATCCTCAAGTTTTCTGGTTATGAACTTCATTTTTACCCCATTTCTATATTATTTTTGTTCACTTGGACTATTTTCACAACAGCTTAAATTGGACTCACTTTCCAAACTTTGACCTTGGAAAGACAACACCCACAGTTCAAGATCCTTAGTTGTCCTGGTCCAGTACACTGACACCCCAAATATGACATACATTTTCCCTGTGCCCATTACCATCTTCAGACAGACCAGCCAGACAAGTCCCTTTACCTCAGATATCTCATTAAGGAAGACCAGTTAGATTCATTTTAAAGCACATTTAGAGTGTGTTCATGTTTTGATTTCCTGAATATAATTGGACAATATTAAAATCAGCATAAGACCCAGTAAGACTAAGGTCGTACTAAACCAAAAAAAAAAAAAAAATAGTGTGCATAGAACAGAATTAAAAGAAACCCTAAAATCACGCATGGGAAATCAAAATTGCAGGTGGGAAATCAACACTACATCAATACTGTTTTGCCATTTTTTATTTTGACACTGAAAAATAACTAAGTCTGGGCCTCCCAGGTAGCGCAAGGGGTTAAGCACTGCACTATGAAGCAATCCGAAGCCTCTGCAGCACCAGTTCGATCCCCGGCCAGCCAGGGAGATACCCACAGCAGACCTCTCCTGTCTCGTCCGCTGCTCCCCTCAACAGTGTATTTCAGTCAGTCTGCCTGTTCTGTTTCCCACTCTGTCTTTGGTGAATCCTCTCACCCCCTGCATCTCTGGACTGTGCCTCGGCTCTTGTATGCATAAATAAATAATAAATCTTTAAAAAAGAAAAAGAAAAAGAACTAAGTCTAACATCCACGTGGAACATTTTTTCATACATGTTTATATTGTTGGTATTATAAGTACAGATTTGTATGGATTTAATAATATTGTCTTTTAAATAGTCACTCAGGAAACAATGTTCAAGTTCGCTAATTGTCTAGAATTTGAAATTAAACTTAAAATGAGTTATCACTATGCTTATGAAACTGGAAAAAATTAAAAATAGTTGCAACACCTATTACATGGAATGGATGTGATATAAAATCACAACAATATGAATTATCAATGGAAATATAGATGGTGAAATCAGGCTGTCAATGCCTATTCAAATCAATGATATGCATATCCTTGGAACTAATAATGCCACTCCTGAGAATCTATCCTATAGAATATAAGTGTCAGTGAATTCTGACATACATGCAATCATCAAATTGTAGCATTTATCATAGCAGTAGAAAAACCAGAAACAGCAAATTCCCACTGAGAGAGGACTGAATGTATAAATTATGATGTACCCATACTATGAATGCCTCAGAACAAATTAAAGTTTTACCAGACAACTTGAAGAAATTCATATAACATGAACACTTCTTGAGAAACTCACTTTTCCAAAATTTCAATATTTGTGTGTATGTGTGTGAATGTGCATCCTCTCCAGACTCCAGTATGGATATTATATATGTATACATGTATATAATATGGTATATATGTACATATATGTATAGTATATAATGTGTGTTTATATAATATATATAGCCCATATTATAGCTTACATATGAATATGTACAAGAGCAACAAGATTAAACATATGAAGTTGTTAGGAGGGGTTACCTTGTATATATTACATTTGATATGGCACAGGTAGGAAGTGAATGAAAGGGGAAATATGCAAAATATGGAAAAGATTTTTTAAGTTGCATTAAAATAAAGTATTTTATTTCACTTTAAACTACGTCTGTATAGGATCACATACCTATAAATGACTAAAATTTAACTAAGAGTAATTTTTGAAAAGAGGAAATATCAAAGTAAACAGAGCCTAGAGAAAATATGAGAATAGTTTAGAAAACCCTGCAATAGAGAAGTAAAGAAAAAAATAAAAATGTAGTAGATTATATCCATACTAATCTGAATGTTATAAAACACAGTACATGAAATTAATAATAATTGACAAACTAGAAACAGTGTAACAATTATAACAGGATGACATATTCCAAAAATAAAATTCTTTTGCAAAACAATAAGAATTTTGGGACCATTTAGAAAAAATGGACAAATACTTGAGTGAATCACTGCAAAAATATAGTCAATAAATATTAAAAATGTTGTCTTAATTATAAATAAATAATTTAAATCTAAAGCAATGATTACCAAATTTATCTATTAGTTTGAGAAGATATTTAAAATGACTAATGATACTAAGGATATAGAAAAATATGCTTTTTCAAACATTGCTCACACTAACTTTCTACAAGATACTTCAACAATTTATATCAAATAAACTTTAAAAAGCCAACCCTTTGACTCAGTGCTTTCATTTATAATATCAATACAAATGAAATAATTGGAAAAGACAAAATGGTTTACAAGTGTGAAAGTCCAATATAGCATTATTCATAAGAGAAAATTAGAAATAGTCTAACTATTGAATAGAGAACTGCTTATCAAGTAAGTTCCAAGTGACAGAATATTTTATATCTATTAAAACTTTTTGAAAATTTGTAATGTAAATAACATTAGTATAGAATTAAATTTAAAAGTCATAAATACACTCCACATCCATTGTCCTAAAATGTGCATTTAGAAAAAAGACTAAAAAGTCACATTAACAACTTCTCGATGTTAAAATTAAGATTTTTAAATGTTTTTTAGTATTCAATAAATGCCATATAATTGGTATCTATTAATTAGCACGCTGTCATCATTAACTTGTTCATCAAGCAACTAATTAATGTGATCATGAAACTCAGTCTTATCCAGTTTCCAAATCAATTCAGAGCAGGACAGAAAGTATATCACAGACTTCAATCATAATCCAAAAAATCAGCAAAGTGCCACTGATGAGCATTAGGATTCCATGTAGCTTCCAAGTCAGCTATAAAACCCAGTCATGCCAGATTGTGTGTTTGTGTGTGTGTTTATTATTACCTGCCTTCAGAGTATGACTATTTATTAAAAATATCATTTATCTTCCCCTATTTACATATTAACCCTCAGCTATGAACCTGAGACATGCAGCAACTTGCCTTACTCTTTAATAGCTGTTGATATCATTCCAACAATAATCTTTAAATTTTTGATCCCATAATCCTAGCTATAAAAACAATTTTAACATACAACTTTAATATTCTATATGTATTTTAAGTATTTATGTGCTACTGTTAACATAGTGCATGATATAAATTATCCAAATATTAAAAATTGTAAAGAATGTAATTAAAAGAAATATTATGAGAGTTCTATTATTTTGTTCCTATACCCTAGTGGATCATTTAAAACATGCCCCTGTATATATACCTGCTGTGGAAATCACAGCATTAGACCACACTCTCCTCTCCCACTCACCACCTTCTCCCCACACTGTACCATGTTCCGAAATTTCAGAATGTCTTAGACTTAAATCAGCTCAAACTATGACAATATTTATGATAGAATTCACTTGTCTAAAGGAAGACTCATATCCTTCAACTCCTTATTTTATTTAATCTTTTGGCAAAATCTGGATTTTTCACATATAAATTGGCCATGGTGTGATTTAACTACATTCCTATCATTGTTGTCATTTGTTGATCATAATTGCTACCATTGTCACTATTACTTCTTTACTGGCCCATGTCATAAGTTAAGTAAGAAGTTAAGTGTTTTCAGAAATTTCAATAATATACCTCTGCAGATTTTTGAAGCTTATCATGGCATGGAGCGAGAAGGAATGTCTTCTCCCATTTCTGTGCAACTTGATTGGTTTCTTCTATTTTCTGTTCACAACTTTTTTGAGAGTTTAATAATGTCACCTCATAAAATTCTTGAATATCTGTGAAAGAAAGAATCAAAATGTCATGTACCACCTTATAAATAACTTCTACAAAAATGCATATGTGTAAAAAATTGCTTATTGAAAGAACTGCATAAATATGTATTCCAAAGAAAAATAACAATAAAAGGGGAAAGACTGAAAATTGAATTGTTACCTGCATGAGACTTCTTATAGTAACTTTATTCATAGTCACAAATACTAGAAGCAATCAACATGTATTTTAGTAAGTAAATGGATTAAAAAAAAAAAACACTAGTAAATCCATATACTGGTATCCCTTAAGCTTTCCTGTGAATTCTTTCAGAAGCCAAAATGGTGAGAAGTGAATAAGCAATTATGATAAATTTACATGGAAAAATTTTTTGAGTATTCTCAGCACAAAAAATATAACCGCTGACACATGCCAAATAGCACAACAAGCCTAAAATAATGCTAACATATAGTTAGAAAAGGGATAATATGACAAATACACAGCTTGCATCAAATATTTCCCATGAAGGAGTTTGGTGGTACCATTTTCACAGCTAGGGGTACCTGCTGCCTGTAGAATAGCTGCTACAAAACAAACACTGAATGCTTATTTTTTGTTTTGGCTTTTTGTCATAAAAGCAAAAATCCTCTTTTGAGAATTTTTGGTTATCAGAAACAAGCATTAATGTAGGTCATTCATAAAAATGAGTGGCATAACTTGAACTTTCAAAAGGTGGTGCATACCTGTAATTAAATACTGTTTGGCAATAGGAAGGAATGACCTACAAAATCATGCAAAAACATGGATAAATATTAAATTATTGACTGCTTTGTTTGATAAGCCAGTCTGAAAATGTAACATATGGTGTGGTTCAATTTATATGACAATCTGAAAAAAAGCAAGATTAAAGAGACTGTAAGAATGATCAGTGATTGTTAGAGGTTCAGGGAAAGGAGCAGAGGATTGAGTAGGTAAAGCACATACTAATGAAAATATTCTGTAATCCTACTGTAGTACTGGATAAATAACATTGAAACATTTGCCAAAACCTATATCTAAGATTACAACACAAAGAGTAAGCCTTAAGGTGTACAAATTTTAAATCATTAAGGAGGTCAGGAAATCCCAGGAACAAATGCAGACTGTGACAAAAGAATCTGACTATGTATGACAAACATATGATATAAACTCGCTGAAGGCAGTAGGAAAAATAGGTGATGACCTAAATAATTTTTAAAACGAATAGAGACTGTAAAATCAAAGACAAAGAAGCTATATGAAAGCATCCTACTCTATACTCTAGTTTGTAAAAACTCTAATTTCCCATGGGGTACAGGTTAATAAGTTTGAAATCATGACGCACATATACCAGAACTGAACAATTAAATAAATGGAGAGTGGGTGGTATAAGTCAGATTACTTGTAGTAAAGGCAACAACCTAATAAATTGGGGACTTAAATTAGATTTCAGAAATTGGATTAGATTTCAAATCTCAATATACACTCATGTTTAACTTAATAGCTATACAAATGGATATAAATAACATAAAAAACAAAAGTAAAGTTGCTAGTAGGTAACCTGTAAATTTGATGATTATGACAATTTACCTGTATGAAATTCCTTCCCAAACTCATAACCAAGTCTAATCATGAGAAAAATAGAATGTGACATCTTTGCAACTTTTCCATAAGCATAAAACTACTCCTAAGTAAAAATGTTATTTTCAATGGTCTTTTTAAAAGTTATCAATCATTGTAAGAAATCTTCCCAAATGACTCCAAAAACGAATGTTTTCATAAATTATTTGGGTTTGGGAGGTATATAGGGTTAATTGTGCCACAATGTTAAATTTTGTATGTTTTAAATATATGAAATAATGTTTTTGAAGACATCTGCTTCTGATATTATGGCTGACAAGATGCTCTTCAGATAAACTAGGCAATGTATAGAAAACAGACTATGAAGCATTACTGATATTTCAGCAGATGGAGTTCTCTAAGAATGACACTTCTCTCTCTCTCTTTCTATCTTTCTCTCTCTCTCTCTCTCTCTCTCTCTCTCTCTCTTTCTCTCTCTCACGCACACACACACACACACGCAACGCACACGAGAGCACACACACAAGCTGAGTTGAGATCAGAATTATTGCAAGTTTGGAGTAATTGTAATGGACAGACAACAAGGATGGGGTGGTTCTGAGAGTAGATATTGATGGCATAATTGCGATCAGCTTGCTGTACATTAAACCAGTGGCGAGAGGTAAATAAGATGACATTGGGACTTCATCATTATCATAGAGACAAGCACCTCAAGAGAGGACAAAGTAATTCTATGTCAGTGATTCCTACATGGCTACTGGCAGCAGCATAAGAAAATCTTATGTAGAGGAACTTTTAAAGGTGGGAAACTCCCGTTTTTAGAATCAAGCAATGAGCTCACAATCAAGATGGTAAACCAACAAAGAAGGCATCGTGTCACTATGGATTAAATTCAGCAGGAAAAACAAACAATAGATTAAGGTGCCCACTGGATAGTTGGTTTTGAAATTTTCTGATATAGGACACAGAAGGGCTATAAAATTTTAAAGAAATAATGGTCACAATCATAAAGATTAACAAACAAGTATCTAGTAAGAATCTCACACCATACAGAGAAAATCAACTCAAAATGGATAAGAAACTTAGATGTAACACCTGAAACCATGAAATACATAGAAGAAAACATAGGCCAAACATTGCATAACATAGGCTTCAGAGATATCTTTATGGATTTGTCACCAGCAGCAAGGAAAGCAAAAGAGAATATCAACAACTGGGATACATTAGATCAGAAAGATTCTGCGTAGGGAAAGAGACCATACTAAAACGAAGAGAGACCTTACTTTATGGGGTACATACCATGTATCTGACAAGGGACTGCTATCAAAGAGCTACAAAGAACTCGTATAACTCAGACAAAGAAAACAAATAACCCAATTTAAAAAATGGGCAGAGGAGCTAAATGGACACTTCTCCAAAGAAGTGTGGCCAATAACTACAAGAAAAATTGTTCATCGTCACTTATCAGGGAAATGCAAATCAAAACCAAAATGACATGACATCTCACACCTTTGAAAATAACATGGAAAAGACAGAAACAACATGTGCTGGTGAGGGTGTGCAGGAAAAGAAACCCTCTTACACTGTAGGTAGAAATGTAGACTGGGCCAGTCACTCCAGTGTGGAGTTTGCTCAAAAGACTAAAAATATATCTGCTGTGTGACCCAACCCTTCTACTTCTAGGTAATTATTCAAAAAATATAAAAACATTAATTTGAAAGGAAACCTCACTCCTAAGTTTATAGCAGCCCTATTTACAATAGCAAAGATAGGAAAACAACTTAAGTGTCCAAAAGCACATGAGTGGATCAAGAATCTAAGGAGTATATGCACAGTGGAATACACAGCAATCAAAAAGAGAAACTTGAGCCATTTGCAGCAATATGGATGTAGCTGGAGGGATTATTCTAAGTGAAATAAGCCAGAAAGAGAAAGATAAATACCAGATGGTGTCACTTAGAAGCGTAATATAGAAAAACCAAACAAAGGGTCAAAGACAAACTTTAAAACCAATCCTTGAAATCTGACCACAGATCTGCAGCTTTCTGAGGAGAAGGGGGAGGGGTAAGAAGGGGAGACCTTGGTGGGGAGAGCACAGTGGACTTTGGTGGTGGAAGTGCTACAGTGACTACATCTTGAATGGGGAGATCCTATACCATCAAAACACTGGCAAAGATGGCGAACAATGGTACTTCAACAAGAAAGAAAGGAAGAAAAAATAACAGGCAGAATAGGAGAAATAAATGTAACTTGTAAAATTACAATTACTTAAACATAAATTAATAGTTGGCTATAGGAATGGATAGACATGACATATAACACATTTAATGAAATGCTAATCACAGAACCTTTGTAATAGGCATACAGGTGTTCACTGTAATATTCTCACTGTTATGCTTGAAAATTTTCATAATAAAATGTTGGAAAATTTTGTAAATATTTAAAGCTAAAAAATCAATGGATGGATTAAACAGCATATCAAAGCATAACTAAAAAATATATCCCCCCCAAAAAATAACCAGAATATAACACAAGAATACAACACAAGAGAAAATGAACCAGAATATAACACAAGAGAAAATAAAAATGGAAAATATGAAAGTAATACTAGGAAATATAGATGATAGATATGGCCCCAAATAGAGAGAATAAATTACAACAAAATTTAAAGAGATAATAGACATTTTAGAACTTATTTAGAACTTATTTAGAACTTATTTAGAATTTTAGAACTTATGAAAATAAGAATTCAAAGATCCTAAATGTAACAGCTTACCCTAAAGAGAATAAGTAAAAGTCATGCCTAGAACCAATATTATAATTAAATTGCAGAATATCAAAGGCAAAAATTAAAATGAAATTTTTAGAGAAAAAGCGAATCAGACTTCTCAACAGCACCAACAGCACCCAGCCACTTGTAGATAAATGACTTCCAATTTTTTTAAAGATTTATTTATTTATTTTATACAAGAACCAGGGTACAGGCCAGATGCTCAGGAGGGTGAGAGGATTCACCAGAGACAAGCGGGAAACACAATAGGCAGACTGACGAAATACACTCCTGAGGGGAGCACTGGGCACGGCAGGAGAGGTCTGCTGTGCCATGTGGGACCCCCACATGGCCAGCCAGGATCGAACTGGTGCTGCAGAGGCTGCAGACAGCTTCACAGCTCTGTGATCAACCGCCTGTGCCACCAGGGGAGGCCCTTTTTTTTTTTTTTAAAGATTTATTTATTTATTTTGACTTCCAAATTTTTTTTTATAGATTTATTTATTTATTTATACAAGCACTGGGTACAGTCAGAAGCGCAGGAGGGTGAGAGAATTCACCAGCGCCAGAGCAGGGAACAGAACAGGCAGACCTATGAAGTACACTGCTGAGGGGAGCAGCGGGTGCAGCAGGAGAGGTCTGCGCACCATGTGGGAC